TAATCAATTTTTTTAAAAAAAAATTTAATAAAAAAATATTAATTATGAAAAATTTTATTAAGATAAGCTATTAAATATTTTTAAGTAAACTTTTTCACTAGATTATTAAGTATATATATTTAAAATTTTATATAAATTAAATAATATTTATTAAATATAAGTAAAAATAATAATTATAGTTTTTAACATATTATAAGTTCATATTTTTTCTTAAATTTAGATAATTAATCATATAAAAACTTAAAATTATTATTAATCTTTATATAAAATTCTCTATTTTTTTATTATAATCATATTTATTAATATAATTTTATTTTAACTTTATAAAATTCACTTATATAATACATTTTTTATATTTAAATATTGAATAATTCTTTATTTTTTAACAAAAAGTTTTCTTATAATATTTTTTTTATTTTATTAAATAATTAATAATAATTTAATAAATATTAATATTAAATATTTCTTTTATCTAATTAATAAAATTAATATTATTAATATCTGAATATTAATTTTTAAATATAATTACTATAAGTTTTTATTTATTATTTAAAGTAGTTTTTATATTTTTAAAAAATATATAGGAGATTAATAATTTAGAAAATAATAAATTAGAATTAAATATATTAAAATAAATAAATATTAATTAACTATTTTATTTTATTATCTTAAATAATTTTTGAATATATATTTAATTTAATATTAAATATTTATTTTATTGATATATTAATATTAATTTTTGAGTAACTAATTAATTTTAATATTACTATATTATTTTTTATAAATTAACAATATTATTTTTATTTTTTATTATTAGTATATATTTTTATTTTATTAATTTTATTAAATTTTTTCATATATTATTTAAAATTAAATTCTATTTCTTCTTTATAAATAATTTTAATTAGTCTAAATTTTTTGATTTTCTTTTTTTTATATTTTTTTAATTATATTTTATAAATTTTTGATTAAATTTACAAGATAATTAATTAATGACTTTAAAAATATTTGTTTAAGATAAGACTTTATAAAATAACTTGTATATTTTAAATTATTATCCTATTAAAATCTTTATTTTCTTTTTAGAAAAGTATTAATATTTGTAATATTATTTTTTAAATATTTATATAAAATTTAATATTTATTATAAATTAACTTATTTACTTTACAAAATTCTTCTTATATAAAGTTTTTTTTCTATTTTTAGAAATTTAATAAATTAATCTTGAATTCTTATATTATTGATTAATTATAATATAAAAAAATTAAAATGTAATTAATTTATCTATAAAAAAAGTTTTATTTTAATTATCATTTATATATTTTTTAATTTACTTTATCTATTCTTTTTATATTACAAGATAAGTATTGATAAAGCTTTTAAAATATTATTTTATAATTATAATTCTATAAATATCTTAAAATAATCAGTTAAAATACTATTTTACCTAATTTTATTACTAAATTTTTTATTAATATAAAAGAATTTTTCATTTAATTTTGTAATTTTTCTTATAAAATTATCTTGAATAATTTATTTGTTTTAATTATATTACTTTTTCAGTTTTTTTAAACTTTTTTAAATTATAATAAATAATTAATATTAATATTTTTATTAATATATCTATTTTTTTTAACAAAAATTAAGATTATTTATTATTAGTTACAGAAAATAATAATAATTATTTTAATTTAGAGACTTATTACAAAAAGAAAAATTAAGAATTAAGAATCTATAAGAAATTTATTAGATATCTATTCTTTTATTTATTTATTTTTTATAATATATTTTATTCTAATTTTAATTATTTCATATATGATAATTATTTTTCAAATAATTTTGAATGATATTATAATTGTAAAAAAACTAAAACTAAATATATAATAATTATAAAACTAGATATGATCATAAAATTTAATTGATATAATCATATAATATGTTATTAATATATAAATAAATCTGAAAAGTAATATACACTTATTTATAAGTTTTATTATGAAATTAATAATAATTATATATTTAGAAAGAATATTTATTTAAAAAGTATATATTTAAAAAGATCTAATTATAATTTAAATAATAATTTGCAAACTGAAAATCATTATATAATTAAAAATATATTAATTATATTTTATCTAAAATATATAAAATTAATTATAAATTATTTAAAAACTTTAAAGAATAAAAAAATATCTTTTATGTATTTAAAAAGATTAATACTATATTAATAAATTATAAAAATCTATTTTATATAAATTTTTTATTTAATAAAAAATATTTATGAAAATTTATAATTATAAAAATAAAAATATAATTAAATAAATATATTTTAATATTGAATCTATTTTATATTTATTTATTAAGATTAAACTAAGTTTAATAATAATATTGAAACTTTTAACTTAATAAAATATTTCAAATAATCAAAATCTTAATCATATCAAAATAATTATATATTATTATTAAAACAAATATATTATTAAATAAATTTTTATTATATTATTTTTTAATATAGTAATAATCAGATTTTCAGTATCTGAGATATCATATGTATTTTTTGAATGGCTGGATTTCATTATGTAAGAATACATGTATATTTTCATGAAAGTTTTAATTAGCAATAACTTATTTGAAAATGATAATTCTTTAAAAAATTCAGCAGTGGCGCAGTATCTGATGCGAAACAAAACACTAATAGTATATAATGTTCTACCGAAAAGCAACAATCAATATTATTAGAATAAGTAGTAATATCAATATTACACATAGAGATCCTATTTAAAAAATTTAAGTCATTTTGAATTGAATTCGATGCAACAAGAGAAATAGCTCTCTAATCGATTTAAAAAAAATGGTCTGGTCTACCTTGTTCTTTTGCTTGTTTCGATACACGATTTAACCTCCTTCGCGCACTCGCTAATCTACCTTCGGTATTATCCACGGCATGTTCAGTTTCTGTTAGCAATTCAACGTGGTAATCTAATTCTTCACCAATAAGTATTCCTAGCTCTCGTTGACGTCCAACTGCCTCGTCAAGTCTGTCTAGATCTTCGTCTTGCTCTGTCATAATTTTAATATGTGGTTCATATTAGCATTGATTTCGTAAGTCAGAAGGAGAGAAAGAGAACAAAGAGAATATTAATATCTCCAGAACTAAATCAAATTATTTGAATAAGTTTACCGGACATTATCCGCTGTTGCAATTGAAGAACTTGGTGATCATCAAATTCGTTCAGTTCTGCTATTGGATCCGTGAAGCGTACACTCTTTTTTTTGGATTTTCCTCCTGATGGCTCAATACTCGAATTCAGATCGAGCAAAAGTTCTCTATCGATTAAAATTAAATGAATATAGGTAGATTATCTCTGGTTATGAAATTTGATCGACTAACCAGTAAGTACCTTGCTGAAATATCATTGCTTTCACCCATTAGTGCCTCGAGCTTTTCCACTTGTTTTGTTAGTTTAATGAGTGTATCTTCTTTTTCTCTTAAATCTTGTGAACTTCTGTTGAAGATTGTGTTTTAAAAGAAAAAGGTAAATTACTATGGTTCTTTTTTATTATCTCCCATTACGGTGTCCAGTTTTCTGTAAATGCAGAATTTGTAGCAATCTACTGTAAATTCTGTTGCAATTTGCAGAATCCATATGGTTTATAACGTGATTTGCATAATGGCGATGTGATTTTACAAAAGAATCTATTAAAAAAACCGGATGATAAAAAAAAATTAATAACTTTGGGACGCGATATCTCGACGTTCAACGGTTCCATTCGAACAAAAATAGGACCATTCAATTTGTCTAACCTAGACGAATCGAATGTTCTATTTTTGTCCAAATTGGACTGTTGGACGTCGAGATATCGAAATTTTTAATTTTTTTCGATCATAATGCATTCAAAGTTACCGAATTTTCTAATCATGATTAATATAATGAGAAGTTTTCGGTTTGCAGGATTTGCAGTAAATTATTGCACAAAAATGCAAGAGATTACTGCAGGGAAATGCAGTCAACTGGACACTACCTCCCACCTCCCTCTCTTTACCCAGAAAAAGCACATCACCCAATAACCAACAGAGAAATTCAGTAAACTGGACACTCTACCTCCCACCTCCCTCCACACAGAAAAAGCACATCACCCAATAATCCAACAAAGAGAGATGAATACATACAAACTTCTAGTCTCTTCGGCTAAAGACAACTCTTGTTCCAACTCTTTTATACCACTACGTAGTTTAACTAAATTCTTATTTATTATAATGTCATGCGAGTCGTGATTAATGTTTTCGCTTTTGCATCTTTTTCGCTCGTATATTGTGACTAGTGTGTTGTCAGCTAACACTGTAAGACGAGAGCTTTTCGACATTATTTTTTGATTCGCGTGTTATGTGTATTTATATAGAAAATATAGTCTTAAGTATAGGTATTATTTTTAGAAATAGGTTCGCTCCCAAAGTATTTGTAGCTTTTTGTACAACTGCGGAGTCTAAACTAAATGAAAATATACATATACGTAAGAAATCCAGAACACTTACTTGATATTTTGATCATCAGACATAGGAACCAAAAATAATACCATAGTAATTTATTTGTAACACATGGAAAATAATTAGCGTTAGTGCCGGTACAATTGTAGTTTAATGAAATATGCTATTCAAACAAAAGATATATTAAATATTCAACAGCTACACACGTAGTTTGTTGCTATACATAAGACAAAATATCATTATTTTTCACATTCATCAATGTTTTTTTTTTTTACCCACCATAAAATCTACCAAACATCAAAATCACACTCTATACCATGAATATTAATTATTACTAATTGATTCTAATTTTTGAAAAATCATGCCAATAATATTTCTCAGCGGATTTGTGTACGAATATCAAATTTTGATTCACGTTTTTTCTCTTTCTTTCCATTATTAAATACATTCCAGAATCGAAGGGTTTCGTCCCCGGCGCCTGTTACAATGTTTTGACCATCGGGTGACACGGAGAGATATAGTACACGAAGAGTGTGACCTTTTAGCACGGCTAGTTGTTCCATTGAAGGGTAGGACCATAGAATGATTTGATTTTGAGAGTAGCCGTGAGTGGAGACAAGTTCGTTTGCGTGTTTTGACCAGGCAAGATTGCACACCTATTTGTATATATCGGTAAAGCATAATGAGAATTTAATAATTGCATAATGGTCAGAATATGAATTTTAAGAACACACCTGAGATTCAGTATCGTGGCTATCCAACGCCTCACCCGTAATAGTATTCCAAAATCTGATATGCTTATCTTGCGATCCTCCACCGCTAGACAAAATCCCATGTGAATGAGGACTCCAAGCAATTGCTTTTACCGCGGCCGTGTGATGCTTCCATTTGTGAAGAGGAACAGTTTGAGTGCGTTCCCAAACTAGAAGTCTGTTGTCGTTTCCGCCACTAGCTAATTGAGTTCCTTCAGGATTCCATTTTAATCCGCAAACCTTTTCATTTTAATATTAATGAGAAAAAAATAAAGATAAAAAAATGAACAGAGAAAGAGGGACGATATAATACTTCTTGTTTGTGTGCAGTTAGTTTTTCAGTATGATCATCAGCAACCCGTACATCTCGGTTGTATATAATCCTATCGCGACTGCCTGTACTAACAACATATCCATTCCATGCCAACGCACCAACTCTTTGGTCATGCCCCAACATTTTTCGTATTTTTTTGTTTCTTTGGATATCCCAAATTTCTACCGGGCCGTGATTCGTGCCGACGGCAATATGAGTACCCTGTTATTTAGATTGGTTTTATCATTAAATCTCACAACATTTTAAAAGATAATACGAGATTACTAATAATAGAACTTACTGTTGGCATCCAGCTTACTGATGTCACATTGTCACCTTGATTTGCGCCTAAATCACATAGCTTGATAACCTAATGATTAAATAGAATTCCGTGCTTAGAAACTATATGATGAAACTATATGATGAAACGTTTACATAATAACTTCTCAAATGTAAAAGTGAAGAATAAATTTACTTTAGATGTCACAGCGTTCCAGAGATACACGCACGTTCCAAGACCAACACCTAAAACATTTGTTGATGACCAATCGACCAAATTAAGATAAAAGTCATCCTAAAGAAGATATGAAATTTGCTTACTAAAATTCGCTCAATTATCTTATCTTATACATGTGTGGATATTATCAATACCTGAAGTTCAGGGGCGTCGAGAACCTTATATGGAAACTTGCTAATGTATCGTGGAGGTTTCCGCGGACTAGTCATAAGTTGCTGGGCCTGCCACGTCAACGGACTCACCGAATACGCATCACGATACGGCGTATCAATGCTGCAATGATGTTTTCTTGATGGCGATCGGTAAGTTAGCAGTCCTTTAGGGGAACTAGATGCTGAGTTTATTCGACGAATGATGTCGTCGTTTGTGTCTTTGTAGGGGAACATTGTCGATTCTAGAACCGCTCGGTAAATACGGTCGTCTTCTTCTAATCGAAATTTTTTTTAAGATAAAATGGGTGGTTGGTGATTTATGTGATTGTTAGATTTTTTCGTTGGTGATAAGTATATTGTTATATTCAACATCGAGATTCGTTATAACAGATGACGATGAGAGATGATTATATAGTTTAAAGGAACAACCTTACCTTGCTGAGCTTCTTCCTCGATCAAAGAAGCAATCTTTCGTTTTTTCCCTTGTGGAGTGTTTGGAACTGTTAGCCTCTGAAAATCTGAAACGATATCATGGGTTCTTATTGGAATATATCTGTGTGAAAAAATTCGATGATGCCATTTTTTCAGTCAGCCATCTCATTGACTAAAAAAAATTAAGATGAAATCAAAACAAAAAATAAATGATCCCTATCGAATTAATTTTTCAGGTAACTCACCTGTCCCCATACTCCATTATTCTTCTTCTTCGTGGAGTTTCAATATTGGTGGTGGTGGCAGCTTTTGTTACTGTTCGCGCGGGAGACCCAGGCGATGCAGGAACAACCGTCGACAAAAACCTGCCACTCTTTGAAGATATCTCTCCGGTAATTTTTCCGGACATTGTTTTTTTGTTATTGCTGTGACGGGGGTAGTGGTCACAAATCCAAGATAGACCCAAAAGAGGAATCGGGACGTAGTGAGAATAGTGAGAAAGGGAGGATGTATTTGTGTTGGCGTATTAATGTGTGTAGCTACTAAGAAAGGTGGTGGGAAACAGAAGAACGTGCAGAATCAAGAGGTTGATTTATTGATTATTTGTATGAATGCTAAAAAACAAGTTCCAAAATTTGATTGTTATTCTTTTGTTGTTGTTGTTGTTATGGTTGCTTGGAAGCTTGGACAAATTCTATCTACTACGTGTTTGGTCACACTAACACGTAATAAATACAATAAAAAATTTATTTCCTTATCTTTTTTTCTATTTCGTCACGTAACGTAAAAACAATATCGATAACACACAGAAAAAAATTACCAGAAAGTTATCTATCAAACTTGCGCTAAAACCGTAGTAGGGAAGCTATTCAAGTGACTGTCCAAGTATAAATGAGAATTAATAACGAGAGTCAAGTACTCATCCACGTACACACATAAACACACATACGCACATACAAGGCTAATGGATTTTGGCGTCTCGTTATTATTTCTATACTACTAATTAATTAATCGATCGATCAAAACAAGTTGATTTGATTTGATGCGATGATGTATCATGTGATAATATTTATGATGATTGCTTTAGGGGAATACTGTGTAGTGAAATTTTAGCGAATAACGCATTTCCTTCGATTAATGATTGTAGGAAAACCAGGTGATGGCGATAAAAATGGAAACGGATACGGAAGTTTCAGATATGGACAGACTTAAAACTGTGCTAACCTTACTTCCACAAATGTCAAGAGACATTATCGACGATACTATCCACGAAAAAGTGTTATCATATTTATCGGGTTATGCGAAAAAAGGACCAGATATGGTGGCGGTTTTGGCGGAGTGGAATGTCTTGGACGTTATACGCGTTTGTAGTCAAATTTGCTCAACTACCATCTGTAAAAAATGAATGATGATAGAGATCGCAGTTTTTTATGATTTATTGTGACTTGACGATCAAACACAGGCATGTATATTTCAAGAAAGTCCTTCTTCCAGGCAACGACAAACAGACTACAGAATCACCTCGATAGCTATTAGATTCCTCGCGCAGCTTCTACAGAATGATGACAAACATCGTGCACGGCTGTTTTGTCAACTGATTACCAAATATCGAGAAGTTATGACCTTTATTTTAGATGGTGTGTTTGATGAGGATGAAGCTTTGATGAGATATTCGTGTGTTGAAGCATTGGAGATGATTGTTGCGTATGAGGAGGGAGCAAAATGGTGAGTGATGTTTAGACTTATTATATTAGTAATAATTTGCTGAAATAAAATTCGATAAATCTTTTTGGCGTGATAATTTTTCGGATGTAAAAAGGATTCTCGAGTCCAATAAAAGCGCGCAGATTATTGAGCGATGCTTCGAAGATTCGAGCACATACGTAAGTTAATAACTAAGAAATTCCCGTTAAAACTATTAATTATTAACCGATTTGGAATGTGGCATTTTAAAGGTCGTCACCGCAATATCGAAACTCTTATTATCAATCATCAAAAATTCACCTTCGTCTTCGTCAGAAGAAATATCATCATCTCATCTGCTGCTACTTGAACACATAATCACATCGCTCAACTTATTCACTATGATGCGTGAAATGCTCTACGACGCGCATGTTACATATAATCACCGTATGGCTACTTTAGAAATTGTTTGGATGCTGGCGAGCTCGCAAGAAATTAATGTAATTGGATTTTTAAGAAGGGGAAAATTGGTGCGAATTTATTTTAATAATGCCCGTCTGTTAATAAAAATTCTGCGACTACGCTTACAATTATTCATTATTATTGTTATTGGATTTCACAACAGTTAATGCATCTCGACACATTGCTGCACGATCCAAACAGAATTATAAGATCTCGAGCAAACGAAATTCTTTATACTTTGTTACAATGGGTGCCGGATCCTTTGATTCTTTTAGAAGATTCTAACGATTTCAGTAACCCAAATAATACTCACCACAGCAATGGTAATAATAATGTTATGACAATCGCATCCTGTGCTGCTTTTTTTTTTTCCGATGAACGGTTTATCATCCAAATTAATAAATGTTATTTGTAGCGTTCAATTTTATCCTATACGAGATTGTGTTCTCTCTTTTATCGAAGGCCGCTGATAATAATTTTGAGATGGTTGTGATGTCTGTAAATGTGATAACTTCCATGGCACAATTGGCTGCGCGAGATAATGATAATAATCATTTAAGTAGTGGAGGAACAATAAGAGAAGGAGAACACTTAGCCTCGATCCTTACAAGTTTACTTGTGTTTTTACTGGGATTTACACAAAAAATTCAAAATCAAGATGATATTTTGGATTCGACGTCTATGCCTTTGTCTTTTACTGATTCTAATGTTGAACAATTTTTATGTGATAATGAGATAGTGGAAAAAGTATGTATTTTTAACGTGTTTTTTATTGTATCTGCGTGTCTTTATCTATGGCTTCTTAATTACGCGAACTTTGATTATTGTCTAGTTAAGTTCACTTTTCAACTCGACAAAACGGGCAAACACTCATCGAAAAACATTGATACTGAATGTATTTCATGCAATCCAGTCTATTGCGATTAAGTTCAGTCAAGTAATCGCGGTAATATTAAATAACATTTATGTCGATAGTATTTCTAATAAAAAAAATACTTTGATTATATTAACAATTTTATCCTACACACGATTACTCTCATCTTATTGATTCTAAGAGAACAGAATCACTACTCAATATCATTATAGATATATTATCTACTCCCGCGTATAATACCGATGAACGTATTCTGAAAGCGGGATTCAATGTTATTCCAATTGTGCTTTTCTCAAAATTTGCGAATGCTCATGATGATCGCAATATTGAAGATGATGATCGATACCAAGCTGTGGATAAGGTCTTTGTCAAATTGTCCATTATTCATGATTTCTCGCTCGTATATCGGATTATTAAAATATTTATGTATTTTGTTCGCATTCAACTAGATTTTGGAAATACTGAACGCGTTATTGAAAGACCAAAACACCGAATGTCGTGGTATGACACTGGTACTAGAGATGTTAGGACGATTGCTTGGAAACCAAATTATCGGCGGCTATATTTTTGATTCTGGTTACGGTAAACAGTTGGCGTGTTCGATAAAGTTAAAGTTTACAGATAATAGATGGGAAGTTCGTGATTCGATATTAGAGTTTATTGGGCGAATTTTTAAGGAAGTTCGTGTATTTTTTATCATTACATGTTATTACAAATGCATTGATTTTGATGAAATTGTAATTTAACAGGAACCCTTTAAAAGCCGGTATGGAATTGAGCTTGTGTGTAGGTTCGATTTGGAAAAAGACGCATTGTCGCGTATACATGATCCGGAAGCGTATGTACGTGCTTCCGCTTTAAATGCCGTACAGGTGAGATACTATTATACGATTGAATTTTATTCGATAAGATACAAAACTTCAATCTCCGTAACTTTTGGTTGAATAATTAAGGCAATAATTCGCCATTCAGAAGGTTGGCAAAACATCCTTTCCAAAAATCTCAAAGAATCTATCGCGTTAGAACTCCCTCAATTAATGAAAGACACCGAAGCATTTGTTCGCCGCGCATTGATGGACTTGATGATTTGTTTGATTGTTGAGCGTGAGTGTGGCGAAATATTACTTGACGATAAAAACGCAGAAATTATAAAGTATGTTATTTCTTACCAAGTTATTCCTTCAACGGATTTATTTCAATTTTTCTTCATTCATATATATATATATATATATATATACATTATGAAAACCAAGTCCCGAAGCTATGGCCAAAATCATGGATGATCCCGATTTCGAGGTCAGAATTCGTGGATGCCAATTTTTAGCGGTAGTTTGGGATCACTGTGAACAAGACCGCAAACAAGGTCATAAAAGACAACGTAAACAGGCTGTTAATATTGATGCTGATTTGTCACCAATAGACAGTAATAATAATAAAAGTTTTTTGATTGGCGATGATTCTTCATGGTTTTATTGGCTTGATGGTGACAATATTTTGATTGACGCGGTTAATATTCATACTTGTATTGCCTTTCTTTTAATGGTATATTCAGTAAAATAATTTTTATTTGTGCACACAACACAAAATAATGAAATAGGCTTCCGACTCGAGTCGTCTAGTTCGACGCGAAATTCTCGTCATTTTACAGCGAATAAAAGATTATGTCGCACAATTATCCTCTTCAGCGTCATCAAGTAATAACAGCATTCAAATAGATAATAATTCTATTATTATTGATACTGACAAGAAGACAGAAATTTCACAATTACTACCACACAAACGACCAACTATTGAATCATCATCGTCACTCCCACATCGTCACGCCGATTTCTATCGCCGAATATGCGCAGAAATAGATTTTTCACGTCTCGCTTCGACTATTGATGCCGAGCATTTGTATAAAGAGGCACTGGAGAGTGTTGTGGATTCGGCAATGACAATGACAATGGATGTGGAAGAAGGGGAGCATCATAGAACTAATAGCATGGATTGCTATTAGATGATTCAAATGCTTGCTTCTTTATTATGGCTATTTATTTTGTTGTGAATAACAACCTAAGTCAAATTTTTAGTTCAATTCTTTTAATTAAATTAATTTATATGATATGTATTTCGTTATCAAAATGAAATATTTTCCTCTTCTTCCACCCTTTCCAATCCCGTAATAATCTTCCTTGTTCCGCCCATCGTTTCCTTATCCTTAAAATCATTACTTAATAAATTCTCAACTAACTTTCTCGCGTTCAACACGCAATCATTAACACTCACGCCCCAATAACTCGCACCGGTAACACTCAATTTTCCAGCATACCGCTCATTTGATTTAATCGCTTCGTGTAATTGCTTCATTCGACCATAATGTCCCACATAATATTGTGGGATACAATTTTTCTGAAGACGAACTAACGCATGAATTGGCGCAGCCGTGATATCTAAATGACTTTGCACGAGGTTTTGTGCTTGAGATAATATTTCTTCGTCCGACATATTTTCCATGTCAATGTTATTATCGTCATAATAATGCCCGCCCATCATGACTGTTAGTTTTGTAACTGTTGGCGCTTTAGGATCTTGTTCAGGAATTGCACACGAATCGAACACGACACCTAACCCGTAATTTAGGTTGTTCGGTGTCGTTTGTGGGATCAAGTATCCAAATCCAATGACTGGAAGTATTTTTGGTCTGTCATATGCTAGATTTACTACTGCTACTGTTACCGCGGGGTTATAATCCAGATGTGGTAATGATGGTGATTTTGAGTGGTAAAGTATTTTCTTTAGCTCAAATGAAGGGATTGTGCTTATTACATGATCTATTCCGTCGATTCTTTTTCCTTGAATTGTTTGTATCTATGAAATATTATTTGTTTTGAAAATTAAAATTAAACATAAGGCCTTGATTTAATCAATGATTGTTGTAAATGATTTAGCTTTAAGTCAAGATCCAATGATACAAAAAAAAACTTAGAAATCCCAAGTCCTAGACATTATGCAGTTTATGCTATTAAGCAAAAAACCCATCTATGCTGAAAAACCAAATGTGTACTCTAATTTCTCCATTATTCATAATCGCGCATATTTATTCATGATTTGCGACGCAATGACAATCCAAAGAACAAAATTAAACACCATATGTAATCGTCGAGCATTCACGTATGAAGATTCTCTTTTGTATCAAGGATTTTATATCCAAATTGAAATACGAGACTCGAGATAATAAATTTCCATTAAATCCAGCGATGATCACTACCTAATGCTTTGTATGAACCGATAAATCAAAAATCCCTAAACACAATATAATCATATTACCTTTATTACCTCATCCTCAAAAGATAAGTTCTTAACAGCCTGCCCTCTAATTATCTCAACTTTTTCCGACGCAGCCAATTCACTCTCAATCGCACTCACAAGTTCTTCGACACCATCCCTAAACGAATACATACTTATCCCTTGAACACTTTTCAGTAACTCTTTATTTTGCTCAACCAATGTTCTTTGCAATATTTGATCCTGATGTGAGATTGGAATGATGTTATCATTGTTTTTTTTATTACTTTTTACCAACATCGCTTTCAACAACGATCCGTATTTCCGTTCAGAATAATACAACAGTGGAAACGTGGATCGAACCGAGAGTTTTGTCACGTCACCAGCGTAAATTCCGTGTATTAACGCGCTGATCATGTTATCAGCTATATGGGAATTGATTCTTCGCGACACGAAGCTATGAATACTTTCATCATCAAAATCCTTATCGTTGTCGTGAAGTTTTCTCTTGGGTACAAATGGCTCACGTAATAGACCGGGTATTATGCCTTTTAATACTGGAAGTGTGAATAAAGAGGTCAGTGCGCCGAAAAACGAAGAAGGAAGTTCATTGAGTTTGTCTGGGTAGTAGATGTAACGTTTTTTGGAGGCAGAGTGTGAAGAGGAGATCCCAAGGAATGATGATGTCAATTTTAGTTGAATGATCTGTTTTTGGATGATAAGATGATAATCAAGTTCAATTGCGAGTATCATTATAATTTTAAATAACTGCGCACATATAATCAATAAAAAAAAAAGAAATCAAATGAGTTCACCTAACCATATCCAAAGTAGCCAATCCACTCAGTCCCGAAGGTCGAAGAGTTCGTGGTCCTTGTTCAAACAACACTTGCTCTTCGCCAACTCTTGTAGTCTGTATCCACCCACCAAGCTTATTTGCCGCTTCAATTAACGTGATTTTCGTTTCGGGCGGTGCGCCTCGCATCAGATACCATGCTGTTGTTAAGCCTGATATGCCTCCGCCCAGTACAGCATAGTGTTTTGGTGGTAATGATGGCATGAATAAATTTCTTGTTTTGAAAAATTTCAAGATGAAAGGAAAATCATAAAACCAACCAATCAAATTGGTTGACTCTTATCACATGATAACAAATTTTTTTATCTGTTCGAAGAATTTCCTCGAAAGTTTATATCCAACTCAGTAAGAGTTTTGTCGTAAAGTAGAGCAAACAGCAAGCTAGCATCAAACAGCAAGCCAGCATTAACAACAATTCTTTACAGTCAGAAAGAAATAAAACGTCAAAATGGGTCGTATGCATGCTCCCGGTAAAGGTATCTCTAGCTCAGCGTTACCTTATCGACGCACACCTCCGTCATGGTTGAAAACCACACCGGAGGAAGTATGTGAACTAATCTTTAAGCTTGCCAAAAAGGGCATGTCACCCTCCCAAATTGGTGTCCAATTGAGGGACTCACACGGCATTGCCCAGGTTAAAAATGTGACTGGCAATAAAATTTTGCGTATCTTGAAATCAAATGGTCAGTTTCATAGGTGTATGTTTAAAAAATAATTCGTTGATTAAATCAATTGCTCGATCTTATGTTTTTTATTTACCTGTGAATCTTTGTCGTCTTTATTGTAGGACTTGCTCCGGAAATCCCCGAAGATCTCTATCATCTCATCAAAAAAGCTGTGGCAGTTCGCAAACATCTTGAACGTAATCGTAAAGACAAGGATGCTAAATTCCGCTTGATTTTGATCGAATCACGTATCCATCGTTTAGCACGATACTACAAGACAGCAGGACAGTTGGCCCCAAATTGGAAATAGTATCCTTTTTTTTTACCTTTTAGTTGGTCCCTTTTTTTTTTTACAAAGCATCATTACGAAAATGATGCCCGTGTTCATATACCTTAACTTATTCTTTTTTTGTCTTTTTAGCGAATCGTCGACTGCTAGTGCTTTAGTTGCATAATTTATATTAATTATTCAGATATTATTATACCGGTACAGACGATGAATAAAGCTATAAAGTATGGTGCATCTCACCTATAAACCACAAAAAGTATCATGTAACTTTAAATATTTATAAATCAGGAAAAGTAATAAATTACAAAATTAAACTGATAAAATAACAGAATATAATCAAATTTAACGGTTGCATTTTAAAAAATATATATAATTTAGCATTAAGGTTTGAAAATATTTATATGAAAAAGGAAATTTTCGGACTAAGGATCAGCATCTAAACACACGAATTTTTATGATAATGACTCGTCCATCTAAAAAGCAAGAACGAAATGATAATGGAAGGTTTGCAAAAGAATCATGTCGAGTGGCTCTTTTATATAAGATGCAAAAAGAATTATAGAACTGTAAAGATATCAACTTACCAATCAATTTCAAAGTCATCTGCAAATGTTTTGGATAATATAGAAAATAAAAAATGGAATCAACTTATTTTAAATAAAAACTTTGAAAATCAGACTTCAAGAGTAGCAAAAGATATTAATAATGGTTAATCAACTTTCTTTTAAATAAAAACTTTGAAAATCAGACTTCAAGAATAGCAAAAGATATTAATAATGGTTAAATATAACAAAATTTGTGAAGATCAAATGAAAATGGAAAAGAAAAGATAAAAGTTAGTAAAGAAGTCGCAGAATTAATTTATATCAAGTATGTATCATTTAAATATTCAATATTGGGCAAATTATTGGCTTTAATATAATTATCTTTCAAGAAAAATATCAAAAATAATATGAATAGATAATAAAGATATTTGTAAAAGAGTGTTATATATGAATTTCAGAATTAATCAATAACTTCATTATTATAATAATTTATTGCATTAATTAAATATATTTGACTTTTATTTCAAAAATTGAAATAACTTTTATTTAATATATATCTTGATTTTTATTTATAGAATAAAATATATACTTATTATATATTATAAGAATTATTTTTTATTATTAGATTCTAATATTAATAAAATTTATTTCATATTTTCATCTTTATATATTGTCATATATGATTTATAATTAAAAATTTTATTTGAAAATTGATTTTTAATATTAGAATATTCATAATTATTATATATATTTCTTAATTAATAAGAAGATTATATATTTATTTTAATTAATTACTAAATATTCTTTATTATATTTTTATAATTGAAGATATTTTTTTAATTATATTAAATTATTTATATTTAATAATAGCTTATAGTAATGACCAAAAGTAATAACTCAGAAGTTAAATTTATTAATAAAATATAGTGAAAATTAAAATTTTCTCTCTATATTAAAATTTATAATTTTATTAAGAAATAA